GGAGGATTAGGAGGAGGAGGTGCCGAAGGAGGGTGAGGAGGCGGATAGGGGAGGAGGAGGAGGAGGAGGAGGAAGAGGAGGAGGAGGGAGGAGGAGGTGGAGGACGACAACGACAAGGGGGCAGGCCGAAGGGGAGGCGGAGTTGGCGCGGTCTCCGTGGCGGTTGGATCGGAGGGCCTCCAGGTCAGCCGCAGGGGGATCGCCCGCAGGGGAAGAGGATCGAGGGTAGGACCGATCCTCCTCGAACCTCGATCCTTCTGGATCCCAGGTCCTCCTGGGACCTTCTCTGGTCCCCGATCCCGGGTCCCCATCGATCCTCGATCTTCCATGAATCCCCGTTCCTCCATCGACTGTGGATCCCCGATCCTCAATCAATCCTCGACCTCGTTTCGGAGGTTTTTGGGCGTTTCTCGAGGTTCTCGTCGCCACGGCTGTTCGCAGTTCGGAAAATTGGCCGGGACGGACCTCGGGAGAGGTCCAGTGATTGGTCGTGGATGAGGATCGATCATCGAGGTCTTCGGGGCGTTTCCGCCCCTGTCTGGGGCCTCAGGTGGCCTCTGTAGCCCTCTGGGGACCTCTGGAGGCCTTGGGAGGCCTGCGAGGAGTACCGCGTGCTTGGTGAAACCGAGCTCGAATTTCCGCAGCGCACGCAGCTGCTCCTTGTTTCGAAATCGATGTCGTAATCCAGTTGATGGACACAATCCTGCACCCCCCGCGCAGCCAGGGGCGACGGCGCAAACTTCCACGCGCCCCCCTGCCCCCGATTCAACGTTGATTGGCCGCGCCCGCGGGGTGCAGGATTTAGGCCCGTCGACAGATCGACACATCGCGCCGCAGCCTGCCAACATTGAATTGGGGCGCGGGGGGCGAACGCGACGTCGGGGGGGAGGTTCGATGGTTCGTGGCGTTAGGAGGAGGAGGAGGAGGAGGAGGAGGAGGAGGAGGAGGAGGAGGAGGAGGAGGAGGAGGAGGAAGAGGAGGACGAGGAGGAGGAGGACGAGGAGCAGGAGGAGGACGAGGATGAGGAGGAGGAGGAGGAGGAGGAGGAGGAGGAGGAGGAGGAGGAGGAGGAGGAGGAGCAGGAGGTCGTACAGTCAGAAAGTTGAGGTTCGAAGTTTCAACGTTTGAGGCTGGCGGGCGCTTTCGTCGGTTCTCGGCGGCTTTCCAGTCTCGGGATGCGTTCCAGCGGCTGCGCCTCGCCGAGAGCGTCCTGGGGGTGCCAGAGTCGTCCCCAACGGCCGCAGGAGGACCGGGTAAGTCAGGAGCGTTTACTCAGCGTGCCGCATCGCTGGTTCTGGCCCGCCATGCTTCGCCGCGCGCGACACACTCATCACGTCCCTGTCCCCAGGCGTCAACCTTCCCACCGGGCCTTTCCCCTTTTCCAGCTTCGCGCCTCGCAGAGCGGAGCGACACGCTATCAGCTCGCAGGGCATAGCGTGTCGCCAGGGCCGCCGCTGCGACATGCTAAGCAAGTGTTCCTGACCATTACTAGGCGACCAGGGCGCTACCTGCTGGCTTGCGCCGCCTGTTTGATCTCAGCCTGTGCAGGTACGTTTTCCCTCTGGCGCCGGAGCGCACGATCACCTGCAACGGGGGTGCCAGCTGCACCAGCTGGTTTGATATGGATGTGCTGCCCATTGGCGTGCAGGATCTGCCACCGCTGCACGGCTGCTCGCTGGAGTCTGCCGAGGACCTTCCTCGCGCCTTGCCTGCCATTCGTGCTATCTAGCAGCCTTTCTGCTCCCCGATTTCCCCTCCTCGCCCTTTCGCCCCGACTGGCTGTACCAGCAGGAGGCCTTTTCGCTTCAGCGGCACTGTGATGGGGTCTCCTGCCTCTCTTTTTTTGCTGTGCGATGCTGATCATGCATAATGCTTGGTCCTGTCATTGTCATGCTTCTCTGGGCTGACGGTGAGCCTTCGATCCAGATCCAGATCCAGATCCTCTCTCCCCCTCCTCCCCCTGTGTGGAGTTTTGCCGCCCACGCTCGCGCAGCACTGGGTCGGACGGTGTGGTCGCCACTGGGGATCGGCATCGCCTTCCATATCGGGGCTCAAGAGGCGGGGGTCAATGCAACCGGGGGTCAGTCAGAGTGCTGGATCTTGCAGGGTCCTGCAAAAAGCCAGGGTTGCGCTGACCCAGGCTTGTGTGCAGGATCCTGCAGGATCCTGCAGGATCCTGCATGGCCTGACTGACCGGGGTGTGGGTTGACCCGGGCCAGAAGGTCCCCGACAGTACGTAATTCGTCCGTGCCCTTTTTCGTTTACGCATTTGTTTACCAGCCTCGAACGTATCCGTATCCCTAAGATTGACGCGCCCAAAGGCGATGGCAATCTTAGGGACTCGCCATCAAAAATAAGGGAATCCCTAAGATTGGCGTCGTGATGAGGAGGTGCCCAGCATAGGGATACGGATATGTTCCAGGCTGGTAATGTGTCTGGCTTTGCTCATGTTTTGCCAGTGCGCCGTCCAGGCGCGTCCTCTCCGGGGTGGCTCCAGGAAGCCTCTTGGGAGGTCCAGGGGTCGTCTAGGGGTGGCGCAGTTTTGAGGTCGCAATTCTTGAACCCCTTGAGTTCTTCAATGATTCTTGGGCCCAGGGAGGCTCATACGACGCCCGAGCCGAGTGTAAAGGCACCATGTTTTGGACGTTTGATGGTCGGACCTTAATTCCTTTCGTTCTCTGGCTTTCGCGCCCTATACGGCAAGTGCCACAGTTGGCACTGTAGCGTGACAGTCCGTATGCACCCTATCTGCAAAAAACGCCCTGATGCCGTCGCATCCAGTCTCGTCACCCATTGTCCTGACATTTCTTGCTATCAGAATGACCTCACCGATGCCGTGGGCCAGTCACGCTATAACCCACTAGAGGTCCATGTTCTCTCCAATCGAAGGGCTCTCGCGAAAAATCAGACCAAAACACCATTGCACTACCGCTCCCCTCCCCCTTCTGCCCCCCTTTCTCTTTGCCAGCTCATCACTTTTTTGCCCCTCTCCCCCTCTCCCGTCCCCGCCCCTGTTCCCGTCCTCGTGCGCCCACCGCTCTTCCCCAGCCCTCCCTCCCCGTGCCCCTTCTCCTCCGTCCCCATCCCGTTCCCCCCCTCCCCTTCCTGTCTCCTTTCCCATGCCCCTCCCCTCCCCCGCTCCCCTCTCCCTCTTCTTATGCCGGTGGCGTCTGCCCTGCGGTGCCAGGACTCGGTCAGGCAGGTGCACGGCCTTGTTGACTCCCTGCGTCAGGACGGCATCACCTCTGCCTCGTCCCTCCCCCTCCTCCTACTCTCACTCCTTCCCACTGCCGCTGCCCTCCTCCCTCTCATCCTCTTCCGCCTCCCTTGTCTCCTCCCCCTCATCCTCATCCTCCTTCTCCTTCCTCCTTCTCCTTCTCTCCCTCCTCTCATTCCTCCTCCTCCCCTCCTCCTCCTCGCCCTCCTCCTCTCCTTTCTCCCATCCTCTTCCTCTCCCCCCTTTGTCCTCCTCCTCCTCCCCCTCCTCCTCCTTCTCCTCCTCCTCCTCCTCCTCCTCCTCCTCCTCCTCCTCCTCCTCCTCTCGCTCATGCTGCTGCTGCTGCTGATCCTCCTCCACCTTTATCCTTCTCCTTCTCCTCCTCCTCCTCCTCCTCCTCTTCCCCCTCCCCCCCTCTGCACACCCTTGTTTGCTCTTGTTCTGCCAGGAAGGCATCCCCGCGGACAGGATTTACGTTGGCGGCTTCCAGCAGGGGGGTGCTCTGGCACTCCTGGCTGGACTGACGTATCAGCAGGACAGGTGAAGATGAGGATGCCGATCCAGATGAGAATGTTGCGGACGACGATGGTAATGATGATGCTGATGATGATGCTGATGATGATGATGCTGATGCTGCTGATGATGATGCTGATGCTGATGATGCTGCTGATCATGATGATGCTGATGGTGATGCTGCTGATGCTGATACGATGCTGCTGCGGATGATAATGATGCTGCTGACGATGCCGATGATGCCGATGATGCTGATGATGATGATGGTGATGCTGATGATGCCGATGTTGATGTTGCTGATGATGACGATGCTGCTGCTGCTGACGACGATGATGGTGATGATGATGACGAAACTGATGATGTTGATGCTGATGATGCTGATGCTGCTGATGATGACGGTGATGTTGGTAACTACATGGTTGATGATGCTGATGATGCTGGGGATGCTGCTGCTGATAATGCTGATGGCGCTGCTGATTCTTATGCTGATGACTCTGATGACGGTGCTGATGCTGCGGCTGCTGCTGATGTTGATGTTGATGCTGATGCTGCTGTTGATGATGCTGATGCTGATGCTGATGATGCTGCCGATGATGCTGATGCTGATGCTGATGCTGATGCTGATCATGATGCTGATGCTGATGCTATGCTGATCGTGTTGATGGTGATGCTGATGGCTATGATGCTGGTGGCGATTATGATGGCGACGCTTGTGCTAGTGGCATTGACGATGGCGATAGCGACGACGACACCGACGCCTATCATGTCGATGATGAGGGTGATGATGATGATGACGATGATGATGCTGTTGATGATGATGGCGACTATGATGCTGCTGATGCTGATGCTGATGCTGATGATGATGATGATGATGAAGATGATGATGAAGCTGATGCTGATGATGACAATGATGATGATGCTGATGATGATATGATAGTGATAGTGGTGGGGGTGGCGGTGGTGGCGATGATACTGCTGCTGATGATGAAATGATTTCGGTGATGATTATAATGAATATGCTGATGATGCTGATGCTCATGCTGCTGCTGATGATGATGATGCTGATGATGCTGATGATAATCATGATGATGCTGATGCTCATGATGATGAGTATGATGATGATAATGATTCCAATGATTATGATGGTGATGGTGCTGATGATATGATTTTTATGATGATGCTGCTGATGATGAGGATGATGATGATGACTAGGGTGATGCTGTTGATGATGCTGCTGCTGATGTTCATGATGACGATGATACTACTGCTGGTTAGGATGACGAGGCTGGTGTTGACGACGATGGTGACGAGCAGGATCGGATGATGGCGGTGGTGATGATGCTGATGATGATGGCGACTCGAATGGTGATGACGGGCAGGAATAGCCGTTCGCTGTCCTGCAGATGGGGAGAGCGAGATGGAGGAGGAAGACGAGAGTAACGATGACGGTGATGAAGATGGTGATGATGATGCTGCTGATGATGATGATGATGATGATGATGATGATGGCGAGGTTGATGAACTATGTCTTCTGCGTTCTCCCACAGGTCCTTCGTGCCCATCTTGTAGTCTTGTGATTCAGTGCTCCACTCTGCGGCGGGCTTGTCACCGTCCATCGGTACATCCACATGCCTGCTTTCCACGCTATGCAGTTGCGCTCTCAATCAGACGTGCCGGTGATGTTCTCATTTTATGTGCCTTTAGGCTTGAACGGCTTACGGGGCGCTGGAGATCTGTAGGCATCAGCCTGCCAGTCACAATGCTACACCAATATTCTCATGAGCACCTCCCCGAAGGAGTAGGGCTCAGAGGCGATCATTGTGTCGTCCGCATTTTTTTTGCTGTTTCGCTTGGGATATCTTCACAATTCTGAACATCGGGCGCGCCCCTCTCGCAGATCGCGACGTCACGGTCCAAACACGGCCTTTTCCAATCATGGTGACATACAACCTTCAAACACACAATGATATTCAATGATTTTGGACATCGTTCTTAGAACAACAGCCGTTTCGCGTGACACATCCTTGCAACATCGAAACCCGACAGATTCAAAGTTGCTTCACATTATGCAAATCAGCAGTATCGATCGAGACGCCTCCAATAAATGGTTTCGAAATTTGTTCTCGACTGCGCCACACACATCGCAAGGTGTGGCAACCCCACCTGCGTTCGACTGGGATCCCGCTGCTGCATCTTTTTCCCAACAGCTTCCTTGTGATCCTCATTATCCTCCTCGTTTCCTTTTTCCTTTGCTTCGCCATCTCTTTCCTCCTCATCCTCCTCGGATCTGGCTTCATAGTTCTCGTATTGTAAATGTGCTGCGATATTTACGTGCTGCAGTTCTGCTTATATGAGCCTGGGCACGCACGTGCCATTTGTGAAAGCACAGCAGCTACGGTCATATCACTTCCCTTCTCTGGTGTTATCCTCGTTTCCGCTTTTATCTTCTGCGCGAACGAATGCTGCAAAGGGTCCAAGCCGGTTTCAGAAGGCGGTCCTCGTCATCAGAGTGCGGAACATTTGCCAGCCGTGCTGTGCTTGCGTGCCGTGTCGTGCCCGCACGTCCGTGCAGTGACACGTTCGGCTTCCCAGGAGCTGCCTCCTAATTTCACCGCGGGCGTGTGCCCTGGAGCGCCCGCCCGTGCGCGTCCACGTCTGCAGCCCTCATCCAAGCACGTCCAAGCTGACGTGAAGAAGGGCGGCGACAGAACCAGGAACACTTCGATCCGATCGACCCGATTCGATATCGATGCTGGCCGGCCCGACTCGACTCGATTCCCAGACTCCGACGGTCCGATGTTTCGAGAATGCGATAGATGGCAGTGGCGCGGACCGCCTTCATGGCCGTGCCGTGGCCGCGTGCCGTGCCGTGGCCGCGTCCGCGTCCGCGTCCGCGTGCGCGTGCCGTGCCGTGCCGTGCCGTTCCCGTGCCGTGCCGTGCAGCAGGTGGACTGCCGTGCAGTGACCTGCAGTGCCCGCGCGAAGGGGCGCGCGGTGACGTGCAGGGAGGCCCCCGTTTTGGGACCTTGGGAAAAACTGCCCAGCACGAACATCACCACCCACCAAACCACCCCAACCCAACCCGAAGGCCCAAACTCACCTTGGATTTCCAGTGTGGTGTGTGTGTGGGGGGGGGGTCGGGGAACATCGAACAAACACAGGTGGAACCCGTACCCCCCCCATACCCGAGACTAGACTTGGGTCTTCGGGTGAGGTTGGGGTGGTCTGGTAGGCAGTCAGGAAACTGCTCCTTGGGCAGGGGGCTGAGGGCGCGGGGGGCGGCGCACTGACTGCGGGAGGCGTGCCCGTGCAGTGGCGTGCCGTGCAGTGGCGTGCCGCGCCCGCGTGCCGTGCGCCGTGGTTCCTCGAGGGGCGAAGGGCTGCGCCCGAGCGGTGCGCGCGGGCCGCGGGCGTGCCGTGTGGTGCCGCGTGCTGCTCGGGCGTGCCGTGCGAAGGAGTCGGAGTGCGGAGAAGTCGCAGTGCCTTGCCATGTCGTGCCTGGTGTTCGGAGTGCGAAGGATGTGCCGTGCCGTGCCTGGCTGTCAGGGTGCAGGGGAGCTGCCGTGCCGTGCCGTGCCGTGCCCGAGCTTTCAGAGCGCGCAGAGGTTGCCGTGCCGTGCCGTGCCTGGTTGTCAGATGTTTCCGAAGTGCGAAACCATTGCCGTGCCGTGCTGTGGCGACCACGCGTCTCATCACGCCGCGTTGATGTTTAGGGCTTCCATGTCGGTGTCATCTCCCGTATCTTCTACTCTCGTGTCAGGTCTTCTCCCGTAATCGATCGGAACTATCATCAGCTCTCCTCTCCTCCCCTCTTCTCGCCCCTCCTCTCCTCTCCTCCTCTCTTCGCTTCCGTTCCGCTCCCGCCCGGTCGCAGCGCCTCGCTGGCTGCATCGTGTTCAGCGGCCTCCTGCTCGGTGCCGACCGCGTCGGTGGGGGACGGGCCTGCTGCTGCGCTCGCGCTGGGAGTTCCTGCTTCTTTCTTGTCTTGTCTGAGGGGTGCCAGCGCGACGCAGCGCGGTCAGGATGCAACTCTTGGGAGGTTCAATTCAGAATCGGCGCTGGTATATCCTCGGTCGCAAACGGGCCAGATCTGTTTTTTTCCTGATTGATCTTGTTTAATCCCGCTTAATTCGGATTGCTCCGATTAGATCCAGCGTACTCCCGATGAATCCGGCTCAACCCTGGGCTTAATCTGGCCTGGTCCGCTTCAGTAGCCCCTTAATCGGGCTCAATCGCCCGTAATCGTTCTGACGAAGGCCTCCCAGGAGTTGCCTTCTTAATTCACCGCATGTCTGTGCCCTTGAGCGCCCGCCCGTGCGCGTCCACGTCTTCAGAGGTACCCATACGGCTACCCTTCCTCCGTTTTCCCCCTTTTGGGCCTCCTGGGTGGCCCTCGCCGCCACCGCCAGATGCCCCTCGAGACTCTGGGCAGAACGCACCCTGGGAGAGGTCTGGGGAGTAGTGGTATCGGTACCTTTTGGTCTCTCCACGTCTGCAGCCCTCATCCAAGCACGTTCAAGCTGATGTGAAGATGGACGGCGACGGGGCCAGGATCATTTCGATCCGATCGCTCCGGTTCGATCTCGATGCTGGCCGGGCCGACCCGACTCGATTCCCAGACGCCGACGATCCGATGTGTGGACCGATGTTCGCACAGCGCTGTTGTGCTCCTTGGCGCAGCAGAACCGACTCGACTTCGACTCCGTGCCGATGCAGCCCAGTCCGGTGCACATGTCGATTCGATCCGATGTGCCGAGTCGATGCTGACCGGTCCTGCGGGGACGTCGGCGCAGCAGGGCGAATCATACGAGCGCCTATGGTAAGGCGATCGAGCAGGCATGATGTGACGGCAGGCAGGCGTCGCTTTCCTGGGGTCGGGCCGGGCCGCCACCGTGGCTCTTGGGTTCTGCAGGCGTGCCGGGTGTTTTGCACGGTCGGCGAAGCCAGGTCCGGAAATCGCATGCGGAGCACATTTTCTGCACGTCGGCAAGAGCACAAGTCGAATGCGGAGCACCATTTTTGCTGGGCGCAGGCGAATAGCCACACGCGCATCGTCACAAACTACAACTTGCACTGCACTCGAGGGTGCCAGCACTTCTGCCTGTCATTTTATCAGAAGCTGCCCGCTTCAAGTTTCGCACACGCTGAATGGACTCCCTGCCGCTGCCGCTGCGACGTGTTTTCCTTGATGTGTTGCGAACGCTGTGGATCACTGCAAATGAGCAGTGCCATTGTACCTGCTATGCCAGCATGGCGCGTGGTCAAGTGGCTTCTCGGGAGGGGGAGTCGGGTCTTCGAACACTGCGACGCCTATGTTGGGCTGGTGCCGATTCTGCTATTTGAACTGCGCGGGTTCTGCTAGTCTGCCGGGTCAGTCTGGCTACGTCGTTGGGCGACCCAAGGGGGACTCGATATTGCAAATCTATGTCGCAAGCTAGTACAAACAGACATCACATATACCAAAGGCGACTGGCACAAGCAACTCGACCAAGTACTGCTGCACAGCACACTGCCCGGTATTGCACCACAGCGAATGCCAACAGCAGGACCGACCTCGGTTTTAACCACGGGGCCGTGACCATCGACGTGCGGACACCGACCACACTGATAAGCGGACGACCGCGACACGACGAAGAGCGACGTCAGCAACACCACGCTTTCCCACCCAAACCTCCGATCAGGTCACAAACACGCAAGCTCACTATTACCACCAAGTGCTTAACCTACAACAGCACAAACTACCTTCCGACCCGCAAGCACTGAGCGAACACATCCACCCAGTCATCACCTACTCCAGTGCCGCCAGCAGTGCCGCGGGAAATCTCTCGTAGAGCGACAGAGACACAGCAACCCCAACAATTCGCAAGCAAACCAACACCCCGATCAAGGACCTATACGACTAAACAGTTTGATCGCACAGCGACAGCAGCATCCAACGACGACCACCAGACCCGCAAGCAATTGAGCAAACTCAGGCAGCAATAACTTCGTGCACAGAAGCGGACGGCATGACAGGCCCAAGTAGCAAACTTACTTGAGGAGTGGAAAGACTTGAACAGCGCACCATCTTTCACAACACGATGGAAGCGAAGTCCCATCACCCAGTTGACAGGTCAAGAGGGCACCACATTCAGAAAACGGCATGACCCCTCGAACGTCTTGGCGGAGTTTTATTAGCAATTGTACAAGCCGGCAGCAGGCTGGGACGCAGCCGGAGCGACCAAACGACGACGCTGCCGACTACCGACCAGCACACCGACCAGCAGACCGGCAGTCCGGCAGACGGGACGCAGGCCTGGCCGACCGACCCACAGAGCAGCAGACCGACCACCGACCCGACCAGCAGACCAGCAGACCGACCACGCCCCGTTTTTGTTTGTATTGGAGGGCTCCTCCTTAGTGCCTTTAGGGCCCCGACTTTCATTTTTCATTTTTTACTTTCACTTTCCACCGGCGAGCAGGCTAACCGACCACAAACGAAACGACGATCCCACCGACCACCTACCAGCAGACGACCGGCAGACCACCAGACAGAGCGCTGGACCCGCCGACACCATCCGTAGCCATTTTGGCTCAAGGCCATGGAGAACCCGACGACCGCGAGTCGTTCGCGGCGCTCTGAGCGCGAGGGTCTCCGCGCTTTGGGCCAGTGCATTTCGGTGTTGAGCTCCCTGCTTTCGCAGCGCGGGGGCGCGGCCCTGCGGACGGGGCAGCGGGCGCCATGGCGAGGTCCCCGCGTGGCGGCGGCGGCAGCAGGCGCAGCAGGTCCTACTGGATGTGCAGCTGCGGAGGGTGGAACTGGGAATGGCGCACCACGTGCCTTTGCTGTGGGTATGCGGCACCGCCCTGGGCGCTGGGAATGTCCCCCGCCAAGGCGAGGCCCAAGGCAGACAAGGGCGGTTGGGTGGATCAGCCGCGAGGACGCCGTGCCCAGAGGCAGGCCCGCAGTGCAGCCTCGCGAGCAGCCTCCGCCAAGTCGCGGACCTCGGCGTCGGCGGCTAGTGGGACGCCCAGCGGTGGAGGGGCCACGGCGATCGAGAGGCTACAGGCGGCAGTCGAGCAGCTCGAGGCGCTGCAGGCAGAGCCGCCTGTCGGCGTGGACGGCTGCTTCACCGACGTCGTGGCCAGCCAACTGGAGGCGGAGCGCGCCGAGCTGGTCAAGGCCCAGAAGGCGGCAGCAGAGCAGAAGGCCTCCTCCCTGCCGCGGTCGGCGCAGCTCCACAGGGAGGCGAACGCCATCAGCAAGGGGGAGAAGCGGCTCCGTGCAGCCCGCCAGGAGCTCGAGCAGAAGCAGGCGGCGCGCGACCTCGTCGAGGCCCAGCTCCAGAAGGCCCAGGATGAGCTCGCGGAGCTCGACGCGGAGGTTGAGGAGGCCAGCCGTGCGCTCCAGGTGCTCGAGGCGGCGGCCCGTGAGGAGGCCGAGGCGCTGCGTCGCCAGCGCGCAGCCGAGTGGGCGGGGGCCAGCCAGGAGCCAGGGCTCCTCATGCAGCTGGATAAGTTGCCCGAGGCTTGGGGCTCCAGCAACTTCGAGGCGGCCTGGGCAGCCATTTGCGCCTAGATGGAGGCGGTTTGCGCGCAGCTGGCGGGCCTCCCCTGCGGCCCCCAAGCGAGCGCCCTCGGCCGAGTCCTGCCCCATGGACGAGGTCAGTAGCGATGATGGCGATCTCGCAGGCAGCAGCGGCCCCTGGCAGCCACAGCCAGCCGCGGAACGAGGCCAAGCCGAGCGCAGTGGCAACGCGCATGGCGAGTGGCCGACGGTGGCCCAGGCATGCAAGCGGGAGCTGGCTGCAGAGGCAGCGGACCTGGCCCCTCTGGCTGCTCGTCCTGCTGGCCGCGCAGCTGGGAGCCGCTTCGGAGGTACGCAGCCAGGGCCAACGAGTGCCTAGCGAGGCCAGTGCGGCGGGCCCGCGCCAGCAGGAGTGCGGCCACGCCGAGGCGGCCCGCCTTGGAGGCAAGCGGCCCCGCAACCTCGGGAGCGCGCTGGCCCCGCCGGCGCCAGGCCAGGCCACGGCGACGGCCCTGGGCGGCCGCTACGGGGTGGGGGGCCTTTCGGTTCCGCGACTGCCCCTGGAGTCGGTGCCTGGAGGTGATCGAGGACCCCGTCAAATGGCACGGAGCCAAGCACCACCTGGCGATGCTCCAGGAGGCCCGCCTAGCCCCGCTCGGGCCTGAGGGGGCCAGAGGAGCGCTGTACCTGCAGGGCAACTTCAACATGGAGCCAGGCACGCCGCATGAGCGGCAGTTGCTGGCGGGCCTGCTGCAGTCAGGCGAGCTGCCGCTCAGGATGGAGGCTCAGGGGCTGGAGAAGGCAGCAGCCAGACACGCCTTTGCCGCCATGTGGAAGCGCCGTACCTCGCCCGTCGACGCAGAGCTGCAGACCCTGGTGCGGATTGGCTGGTACTTCAAGTCGGAGCAGTACCTGGCCGCGGACTTCGGCGACAAGCTCGACCACGCGTCCCGCAGGCCAGATAGCGAGCTGAGCCTGAGGGTGCGCAATGGGCTCGGCGCCTACATCTCCAACATGCACTGGACGAGGAGTGTCTGGCGGGCTCGCGCGCCAGCCGACGGCGGGCTCAACGGCAAGCTGTACCTTGGTGGAGCGGTGTGCGAGCCGCAGCTTGGAGCCCTGCGCCGCCCAGGCGGGGCTATTGCCCAGTGCGACGTTCTCGGCTGCTTCGTCGCAGGTGTGCGCGGCTCTGTCTGGCGGGGCCTGACGGCCAAGGGCGGCGAGGGCTCCGCTGCAGGGGTGTTCGCCAACCCTGCGGTGCCAGCGGGGGAGCAGGCCAACGTCGCCTGCTGCACCAAGGTGGCCTACCTTCCGAGTGGGCATGTATACGCCACGGCGCCCAGCGGGGCCAGCGCCCGCCCATGGAGTAGGACCCTGGCCGTGCTCGAGCAAGGAGTCGTCGCGGTGAAGGAGGTGCCAGCTCACTGCTCGCGGCAGGCCGCACTCAGTGGGTTCCTTTCGGAGGCCCAGAGGCACGGCGACGAGCCCGCGGGCCGCCTCGCCCAGATGGGGGACATGCGGCATGCAGTGGACAGGCAGACGGCTGGCGAGTAAGTGCTGGCGGAGTTCGTGCGAGGGCTTGGGCTCGAGACCCGCCAGGCCGCCACCGTCTGGCTAGGCATCGCGGCCAAGGACAGCGAAGGGCTCCCTCCTGCTGGCGAGCGACGCCAGGTGCAGCCCGCTGCAGTCGAGGAGCCTCTATTTGCTGGAGCGGCCCTCGGCGTCGGCGCCCCCGCCAAGCGGCCACGCCTGGAGAGCAGCCGTTCGACGGGGAGCAGCGCGACCGCCCTCTCGGCCACTGCCGTCGCCTTCGGCATCCTGGGGCACGCGCTCTGCTACGCCTGCGCGGGCGAAGGCGAGGACACCCAGGAGATCGTGGCCTGCTCCAAGTGCGGGGCCCACATGGTGCTGGGAGGCCGCTCAGGGGCCAAGCCTCGCCTGACAGAACGGTGCCCAGGCGACAAGACGGACAAGTCTGGCAGGAACCAGCGCAGCCTGCGGGAGCGAGGACTCCATCCTGGAGGCAGGCCACGAGCCGACAAGCAGAGAGCGAAGGGAGAGGGCATCCCCGCTTTGCGCTCGCGAGGGCCCGTGCCAGGGCACGCCCAGGAGCGCTGCCTGGAGTGGCTCGGCATTGAAGCGGAGTCAGCAGGTGGTGCCTCGGCCGCGGCCAGCAGCACAGGCAGCGGGGCTGCTCCCACGGCAGTGCAGGCGGCGGAGGCTGCCGTTGCCAGCCTGCCCCAGCAGCGGCCTGCCTCGGCGAGAGCTGGGCTCCTCGGCGTGCACGGGACCACCGATGTGGAGTTCGCCGCTGCGGACAGCGCGGCGATCGACGGCCAGGTGAGCCGCGGGGTCCGCCGCCGTCTAGCGCGCCGCGGCCCGCCGTCTGAGAGTGAGTGAAGGATGCGCATCGGTCTGCTCACGCTTGTTGCTCCCTTTGGCGAGTAGGCACGCGTGGCTCGCGATGCTTTGGGACTCGGCTTCTTTCGGGAATTTTGGTCCCGTCTGGCCCAGTCCGTGCTTTGTTGGTTTCTCCCTGCGCCTTGAAGGCCCCGTCTTTAACTTTAATTTTAACCCGCCGACGCCAGCAGACCGGCAGACCGACCACCGTCCGCCGACTAGCAGAACAGTATACCGATTATCCGATAGCCGATCAAGAAAACCACCGACTACCACAGCGACCAAACGACGGTCACACCGACAACCGACCAACATATCGACCAGCGGGTCGACCAACCGACCAGAAGACGGACAACCGACCGCTAACGAGCAGTCCAGTAGACCGATAACCAATCACCAGTCAGCAGACCCACGTACTACCACATTTTGCAAAGACAGAGCTCAACAAGGCGGTCACAGTTCTCCGGGCAAAGCCCCCGACACCAAAGGCCTCCGCGCAGAAATGTTGCAGGGGGGCGCAGAGTAACTCAAATGTGCAATTCTCCACCTGTGCAACGCGATCTTGCAATGCAGCGCCCCGCCGCCAGCCAGCTGGAAGAGCACAGTTACCGCAGTAATGCCAAACAGTTGACACTTCACACTTCCATCGAACTACCGCCTCATTTTCTCACCGTAGTATTGTTGTGCAAGCTATCCAACCCACTGCTAGACAACAGGCTACCACCAACACTTGACTCCCACCAGGCTGCCGACCAGGCGGGCTGATGGCCATTCGGCCATTAACCATTTCTTCACCTTCACTTATTACGTGAGCGAGCAGACGAGTGGGGCCAACGTCTATCTGTCGCGGCACCCGAAGTCAAAGAAGCTTACGGTTCAGGTGAGCACAAGAGCATATGGACAGCAGTGGAAGCACGAGGCGCACAGCTCGCATACCATGCACTACTCCAGCAGCTCTGTGAGGGACTGACAGCTCCGGCGAAGACAGACGTCAACAGTGGACCCTTCAGCCTCCTGCGAGGCACGAAGCAGGGCTACCCATTCAGCTCGCAACTTGTAAGCACTCTTCTACAACACATCCTTGGCCCGCTGGTCTCCGAATAGCAGCGGAAAGTGAAAATAGCTGAACTCGGATTTACCTGCACCGCCACGCTTGCCAACCTACGCCTCGCCGACGACGTGCTCCTGACCAGCCGAGCTCTCCCACGTCTGATTACGATGCTCGACGACATTGTGTGCGCAGCAAAGCAGCACGGGCTTTAGCTACACCCGAACAACACAAACATACAAAGCAACCCGACGAGAAGGAACGGCAGGGCGAGCTCTCGCACAGCACGTGTCCAAGACCTGGATCTAGAAATCATTCCATGCGATGTCAGTCTCGAATGCCTCGGCCAACTCATCTGCTTCCACGAACCCATGGGCACGGAAATTCACCACCGCACGAGAATTTCATGATCATCGCTCACTTCTCGAAAAACAAGAGCTGACCAGAAAGTTCAACCTTCTGGCCCTCGGGCTCCGGCAATTCTACAACACTGCAGCACCGACAGTATTATAGTGAACAGAGACGTGGACGCTCATGGAGCCACCCCTGCAGAAAATACGACGGTCACAACGACGGATTCTTCGCATGGTCATCAAAAGGTCGCGGCGACGCACAATGTAACAAGCATACCTTCACATCAGCCAGAGACCCGAGAACTTCGACAGCACAAACCACGAGACACCAGACAATGATCACAGCGCCGACAGCACTAGCGACGACGCAAACAGCAACCCACTTCAGCACGCAATGCTGGCCACGCCCGGCATGCACAGCGAGAGCGGCAAAAGCAGGGCAATTGCAGACCCGTTGGAACCTTGGGTCGGATACATTCAAAAAGCGACGCGCAGAGCACCTTATGAAGCAGCACCGCGTCGACAGCTGGGTGGCGGTACGCAAGCGAAAAGTGTGGCGCACGGAGTCAGGAGTCAAACCACGAGAGAACAAGGTGGACATGGGGAGTGCTACTTTGGCAGCCAGACCTCAAACGACGCCAGCAGGGAGAGGCAGCACCTCGGGCAACTCAAGCGTCTTGTCTTGACGACGAAATCCACGCCTCCTTCAGCCAACGCCAACGCAGACCAGACTTTCACCGACCATCCACACATGCCCAATCGAGAGGACATCTGAACGACATCACATGGACGCAAAAGCCCAGGACACCGGAATATGGATGGCGCCCGAGCGTCACCACACCGAGTTCACAACAGCAAGCGCCCAGGACCAAGATCCATAAAGTGAGCGCTCAGACGAAGCCGAGACGACACGCACAACCCGCGCCGACACAGACACCCTCTTCCTCTCCTCCTAACTTTTTTAATTTGTCTCGCAATGCATGTGTCCAGACAAGGCGGCCAGATTCTCGAGGCCATGGCTTCACCCACCTGGTCTGAGCTGGGCTTGGCCACTGCTCGCATCGGAGGTCGCATCGCATCGCATCGCATCCAGACGCATCTATGTTGAGCTCTCCAATAAGTATTTTTGGACCAGCCCCACAGGTCCCCCACCATTTCGTCCATGGTAGCTTCGCCGGTCTAGGGCCCCTCCGTGGTGAGACATTGCTTCCCCTTCGGGGATCTTCTCTTCCTCCTCGGTGTATTTTTCTAGAGCAGAACTCACATTATCATTTTTATTGTTACTATTATGAGTATTTGTATATCCACTATTATTTGTGCGTGCTGGGTGATCCGCATTCGGGGTGGTGCGCGCAAGGACAGGGCGTGTCTCGACTACCCGTCGTGCGCTGTGCTACAGCGGGTGTCCACCACCGTGGATAAAAATATTTGGCCGAAGGGCGGAACAGTCGATGCTGGCGGACCCTCGCGCGAATTTGGGAGCGCACTAGGGTATTATTGAGACCACCCTGCGGCTGTCAAGGGTTACCACGGGGCTGTCTTGGATCATGCATAGGGCGTCTTCGGCCCGTATCGGGGCATGGAGGGCGGCTCTCTGAAGCGTCTTGAGGCCGCCCCAGCGCTTCTTGAGCCAAACGCAGTGCGCACGCGCAAACGCACCAGGCCACAGCGCTCGCATCACTGCTTCGTGTCGCGACTCGCGAGGCATGCGCTGTATTCACGTTTGTTGTCTTTTTCTCGATCGTCATGGAAATGCATATTTCCCGCTTTTGAATTATTTAGCTGGCCAGGCTCCTCTTGGAGGCCTCTTTGGGTCTGTTCGGCGCCTCTTGAGGGCCTCTCGGGGTTTTCATGGGGCCTCGTGGGGGTCTTCTGGGGCCTCTCGGGCGCCTCGGGGGGCCTCTTGGGGCCTCTTTGTGGCTCCGGGGGCCATCCTGACACTAGATGGCTACCTGGGCTAGTTCGTGTTCCACAGTCGGTGGCCGACAACTTTTGACAACACGCACCGTTGTTCGTTCGGGGGTCTGGGCCCCGGGAAGAGCCTTTACAGCACGCGATGATTGGCCCTCCAAAGGGCTCGAGGACACCTCCACTCGACGCTGGCGGCTCAGCTGTGCAATTCATGGCCATCCGCTTCGGTTTGCCACTGCAGTGCACGCACCTTTCTGAAGCTTAGCCGCCTCGATACGGACGTCCGTGTCAATGCGTTGCGTGTCGGCTCAATGTATTGGCTCACGTTTTGGCGAACGTATCGCGTCAGACCTGCGTTTTCAGTCTACGTTTGTAGCTCCATGCCAACACGCTACGTGTTGCGTTTTGCGAATCGGGGCAGCTAAGTTCTTAAGAGCTGACGGTTAAGATTCGCCTCGCGGCCTGTGCAGTCTCCAGAGAAAGCGTGACACCACCACTGCACGAAAGGAGGTCTCATCATCGAGCGAGCCTGTACATTAGATGCGTTTGCCTGGGCGCGAGAGCGGGCTTGTCGAGTTACGCTTTAGCGCGCCCTTGACGCGAGGTCGGTTGATGTGGGAAGCCTGCGGATTTGATGCATCAGCTTTGTTCAGGAGGGGCAGCAACCTGTGTGATAATCAATCGGGCGGGTTAGGCACCCTCGCGGGACCCGCAGCACGGGGCTTACGAGTTTTTTGGGGACATGGTTTACACGACGGTGTATTTGATGTATCGTTGCAGGAGCTCCCCACTGCAAGTGCCAGCCTTGTTTGTGCGCCATGCCATCTAGGAGCGGCCGTGCGTCAGTCCGCGTCCCTTGAGTGCACGTGCTGCGTGCGTAGCTCGTGTGCGTATGCTTGCACGCACATCGTTGCAGTTATGCGCGTACCAGACGTAGCACAAACTGACATTTCGGCAGTACCGCATCGCCAGTCGTTCTTTCTCTTTGCACGTATGTATCAGCAACCAGTGCCCTCGATGTAATCTCTTGCTGTTGGGCATGCGCCAGATCGTGGTGAAGCATCCGATTCATGCGTGCCTTGCTACTGGAACGCACCCACGCAGCTCTTGTACCACCAGGTATAGTGAGCTTGAATGTAACAATTTCTATACTTCCATGCTGATGGGCTCATATGTCTTTAACGCATGGTCGTTCCATTGCGGGGCTATCCGATACACTGCCCAACAGGACGAGGGATGCAACGCTGTTAAGGAGTTCGGGTTGGACATCCAGCTGCCTGCGGCACGGTCCACCGCCGTGCAAGCGCAGCCCCCTCTGCTGCGACGCTTCGAGCACCGACCAGAAGGCCGCAACATGCGCCACCTCTCGCCTCCGTTCCTTCGAGAGGATCTCCTGGGGGGCCACCTGGGCCGCCTTCGGGCTCTTTTGGGCTCCCGTGGGGCCCTCCTGGGGCCTTGTCAGGGGCGACGGTTCTCCTCGACGTTCCGGCGTTCTATCTTCTGTGTTTTGCTTTGTCGGCTGGTCGGGTCCCTCCTGCGCCGTCTCTGGGCCCTCTTGGGCTGTGCTGGTGCTGTCTTGGGCCCTGCTGAGCCCACCTCGGCTCTCTGGGGTCTCTGGCAGCGCAACATATTCACAAGCCTACGGCTTTCTTCTTTTTTATTTTGTCCGTTTTCCCAAGGATGCCAACTTGCCTTGGCGTTGGTATCTTGGGAGCATATCGGGGTCACTTTTGCAAATCGTTGGTTCTTCTAAAAGGGGCTGTTGAGCGCTTCCTGAAGCAATGTTGGGTCATCTTGGTGGCGTTGGTTGCTTCTCGTGGGCTGTCTTGGAAGCAGTGGGGAGCGCTTGGGGAGCCCCGGAGAGGCGCAGGGCTGGCCAGGGAGCCTCGGGAAGGGGGGGGGAGAGCGACGCACGCAACGAAGTGCAGCGATAAGGCGGTCCCTTAGAAGACTTACAGAAGCCCTGCCAGGCAGCACCTGGCATCCCACCACGCCTCGACGTGCCAGGGGGCATGGTGCCGGATTACGTCGAGGCGATATCCGATGGGCCATTCGTGGCACCCGCAGGAGCTCCAAGAGGTCGCCCTGCCCCTTGTTTTGTCGAGACGCCTTCTGCAGCGTACGATTGCGCACCATTTTCGGCTCGCATAGCGTCCCCCCCCCGAAATAGGTGCACGTACGTACTTCATTCGTGAATTTAATTGGTTTTTGGGCTTTAACAAATGGTCGCAGCCACGCAGAGGGCGTGCGTAGCGACGCCCCAAATGCTCGGTCTCCAGTACTTCTACGTGGCGGCGCCCCCGCAGGCACGCAGAGGGCACGCGTGGCGACGGGGGCGTCGCCACGCAGAGCTTCTAAAGACCAAACATTTTGAAAACCAATTACTTCCACTACTAAAGTGCAACCTAGGTTCGCACCTTGCACATGGTATGCGTGCGTGCGTGCAGGCAGCCGCGATTTCATACGCCAGCAGCTGCACAAGCAAGACGCTTCGGATCATCTCCGTTCGTTTGCGCCGCACGCGCGCGTGCATCTGGTGGCCGAGCTAGGGCCTCATCTGTCAAGGCAGTGCTTTATACCGCATAAGTGGTAATCTCTTGAACTGAACCGCGTGGAACATGTGCTGGCCAGTCGGGTTCTTTGCAACTTTCCGTGGCGCGCACAGGCGTGTGCAGTTGAGTCCATAAAAGGTGTGCACGAAGGCCAATCCGTACGCTTCAATCGCTTGTGGAGTTGTTTTGCCGGCTCCTGCATGTGCCAACCCTCTCGTGTTGGGTATCCGTACTTAATTGAATTCTATGTGCAATTATTCTCCTTCCCGCCTTGCCTCCCCTCCCTTCTCTTCTCTGCTGCCCCCCTTGCCTCCTTCCCGCCTGCAGACTTTTGTTCAAACCCTCCTGTGTTTGCTATCGTCTGAATGAAGTCACCTGTTGCGTATCCCGTCCTTGCGCAACTGCCACCACTTCCGTGAGCGCGGCCTGGCGCAGATCCAAGTGAGGCCTCTTCGCTTCCCTGGGCGCTGCTAGCTGTGCAGTTGCCAC